CCATACACAGACTGCTCTAATCAAAGAAACTAAATATTTTTTAATAAAAAATTAATAGATAGAAGAGAAAAAGGTATAAAACCAGATAATAAAAATCCTCTCAAAGAAGTAAAGAAAGGAATAACATAAAAAGTCAAAAGAACACCGCATCACAATCCCTCTCCAGAATATGTAATGAGACATCACCAAAGGAATTCATGAGCGTTAGCAATCAAACAAGAAAAGAGAACTAATTCTTTAGCTTATTACGATGGAGGAAAATAATGACTCTTCAGAAAGCCTTACCATTGTGCTACAACCAAAACACTCGAAACTAGCAAAGAGAGTTCCTCATCGAGGTACCTTAGGTTCCTTCTTCCCTCCAAACCCCGAGAAGATATAACAGAAAATATTCAAGAGAAGGGGTGGCAACTCATATGGTACCAAAAATATCAAAATGCTTGGAGTCAAATCCAAGTGACCTCAAAATGCAAAAAAAGATGGCAATGGAGCTCAGCCTCCTTGAAGGACATAATAGATACACCCGGGAAAAGAACACAATTAGATTTAAGAACTTGAAACACATTACTTGTGTTGAACCTATTCAAGATAATAGTCCAGATCTATGTTGCTCGGACTCGAATACGTGTGTTAGATAAGGGTATGGATCTAAGTGTCTAAATCAAAGATATGGGAACTTGCTCAAGACACTTTAACCTGAAAAGGGTTTTCAACTATCCAGAAAGCACCGGTGGAAGCCTCCTTAGCAGCTAACATTATAGGTAAGATGAATATAAGGGGATTTCCAAGTACACACACTTGACAAATCAAAGGTCCAAATTCTGCTACTTGATTGTAGAGAGACACTAACACTCTGTTTGGATAAATTTTAATAATAGTTAATTAATGTATGTTAATAGCAGTAATTGGATGGCAATGACATATAATGGGAATGATAAAAAATTTTTATATTTTGATAATTGTATATTAATATATGTTAATGGCATATTTTTGTTTGGATGATAAAATGGTATGGTTGTATTTTCAGTCAAATTACTAATTTACCCATACATATTTATGTAATGATAAGTGGTATATAAAAAATATATAATAAAAATAAACAAATTGTTTACCAATATAATTACATTTGTATTTAAATAAATAATTATTACAAATTAAATTTTTATATTTAATAAAATAAATAATAAATTGTGAGAATAAAAATAAAATTAAGTATATTATATGGGAGTATAAAGGGAAAACAAGTAATCTGTCAGTCATATAATACAGATTCGGTGGTTTTAAATTCATCCAAAATTTGCCAGTCAGATACCGTTTGTTAACATTGGAAGTTAAAATAAACATAATTTTCTCCCACCCGTAGAGCACCATATATTAAAATCTTATCATTTATTACGATCCAAACAGGGTGTTAAAGGGTCAAGGATATTAAACAAAGAGAATATATCATTAGACTCTCGATCATTTAGATTCCTAAAT